GAATTGGCCAAAAATCGCAGAAATTACTTAATTCTGATCTTATCATCGCCACAATTAAAAAAAAATTTATATAAATAATTTTATAATATTTATAAAAAAATAACACAAAATTAATAAATTATCATTAATCACTCTACAGAAAGCCACTCTGGCAAATTATCATTGTAGTAATCTTTTTCAATGTTGCTAATCTTTTGTCGTAAGTTTATAATAAATTTCCTAATATCATTTTGTTTATTTTCTAATTGAATCTCATATGGAATTCTTACCAAAAGAACAAGAGTAGTAATTATTAAATAAATTTAAATAATAATGATGATAATGAATTAAAAAAAGAAAGAAAGAAAGAAAGAAATATACTTATGCCAAGGTGTGACTTGATCTGCAAGTAATTCTTCCGGTGAACGTTGTTGTATTCCATCTTGATCCAGAAGATTCTTTTGTTTTTGTTTATTCCTTCTTTCAAACTTAGCCTGTCGATCCTATATAATGGATGAGAATGAGTTGATGCAATCAAAAGAGAGTGTGTGAATTAATGTGAATCAGCAAGAGTGAATCAAAAAACCTACTTACTTGTTCAGTGATATCATCAATTCGTGCAAGTAATTTTTTATTTTTAAATTTTAATCCATTCAATGTGTTAAGAGCTTCAATTTGTCTTTCTTTTGTCTATAGTCAAAAAGATGACACATGAAGTTGAGAAAATTACAACGTTATTTATACATGTTAAAGGTTATATCATCTATTTCTCCGATTTCTTCGAAATCCTAATTTATCCTAATTAAATGTATTATTTGAACCTTCTGTGTAGAATTATTTTCAAGTTATTCTAAAGTGATCCAATCATTTAAATTCCTTCGTTTAAATTAAATCAAAGAATTAAAGGTCTGTTGCATTTTAGAATTTAGAATATTTATTTCTCCGTTGTTTGAGATATTTTCCGTGAGTCAATTATTTTATTGATGATTGAATAAAAATATGAAATTAGACTGATTTGAATACTTGATCAATTTTTTCCGATTTTATTTGCGTACAACTTTCGTAGATATTCCATGATATGTGAAATTACTATTTTACATTATTAGCTATTACGGATATATTTACCAAAAAAGAAAAGAAATTATAAGTGATGGTATTATGAAAATATATACATATAATTCAGATTATAATAATGGAAAGAATCTTAATTAATAAAAAATATAAAAAGAAATAAAAGAAAACAAATGATGATATTATTTCATTCAATATTGATATATATTAATATGACAATGTAATGGTATCCAGATGGAAAACCATTGCAAGATTATGAGTCGCAGATAGTTGATTAAAATTGTAATTAAGCTATAACTGAGTTTCAGCACATAATAATAACCATAATTTTGACTTGCGTGGATTAATTTATAGATTTACATAATGGTAAATTGATGCAAATAATGAATAGGTTATAATAATTTTTTCGTTCCTCAGCTTCAAAAATTGATCAGCAAATTTTTACACAGGGGTTTTTTATTTCTATAATAATAATAAATATAATAATAAATATAATAATAACAAATTCTTTTTCTCTTTTCTCTTAAAAAATTATTATTATTATAATTATAATAATGAATTCAACAATATTAGAAAAATATTTCAATGAAAATGAAAGATTTTTAAATACAGAAGAGAATAGTGATGTAAAAATTAAAGTTGGTGTAAAACCAAATATTAAAGAAATCCATGCCCATTCATTCATTCTACAAGTTCATTGTCCATTCTTTAGAAATGCTTTAACCAATGCAACAAAAAAAAATGGATATTATATTATTGAAAAAACAAATATCAGTGAATCAATTTTTAAACCTATTCTAAAGTAAGTGATTACAAAATTATTATTTGATTTAATATATAATTAATAATTATAATAATATTTTATTTTGCTTTAAAAGATTTTTATATACTTGTAAAATTGAATTAGACTATTTTACTGGAGTTAATATTTTGGATATATTAATTGCAGCTGGTGAACTTGGTCTTGAGTCACTTTATGAACATACAATGGATTATTTTGTTGATAAACATGAAGATTATATAAAAGAAAATCTAATTAAAATTCTTAAATTAATTTATTCAAGCAAAGAAACTTTTAATGAATTTAAAAATACTTATTTAGAAAAATTTTGCAATTATGGCAAAGAGTTATTTCAGTCAAGTGAATTTGAATCATTGGAAAAACCAATTCTATTGGAAATTCTCAAAGGAGGTGACGTTTCTGTTGATGAGATAGTTATTTGGGAAAATATTATTAAATGGGGATTGGCAAAACATCCAGAAATCAACAATAATAATGTTGAAGATTGGTCTTTGCAAAATTTTGCAGATTTTGGAACAACAATAAAAGAATTTATTCCTTTAATTAGGTTCCGGGATATTTCTAATAAGGATTTTAGTCGTAAAATTTTACCATATCAAATGCTTTTTTCTAGAACTTCATGGAAAATTATTTTAGATTATTATTTAATTCCTAATGAACAGCCAACTTCAACTTTACTACCACCACCAAGAAATCCAATAATTGACTCAGAAATTGACTCAGTAACAATTGACCAAAAGCTTACATTGCTTTTTGCAAGTTGGATTGATCGAAAAATTCCACAATATACTTCATTTAAAGATGTTAAGTACAAATTTAAACTCTTATATCGTAGTAGTAGAGATGGTTTAGATGAAGATATTTTTCATCAAGAATGTGATAATATTAAAAAAACTCTTGTAGTTGGCAAAATACAAGATTCAGATCAATTAATAGGAGGATATAATCCACTTGATTGGAATGGAAATGGGATTAATAAAAATACATCTGAAAGTTTTATATTTAATATCAGTAATAGAAAAGATATTAATACTGCACAGTTTAGTTATCCTATTAATAGTAATCAAGCAATTTATTGTAGCACTGATAGTTTGGCTGTTTTTGGTAATGGTTTTCAAGATTTCTGGTTTAATGCAGATGATAGTATTGGTGGTAGTGGGTCATATGCTTATAATAACATCAATATACCACATGATAGTATATATGATGAATTAGAGGTTTTTCAAGTAATTGATAAAAATTAAAATCAAGGCTTTAATTTTTGGTAGAATTATTAAGTTATGCACAATCCTTTTCTTTTATCAATAATGAACCATTTGTATCTTTAATTATTTTATTATCCATAAAAAAATAAATAACAAATAAATCATTGATACAACCATTATTAACTGAATACTTTGGTAAAATTAAATTCTTGCGATCCATCAATTTTACAACTTATTCCTTATATTTTAAACAATGCGATTAAACAAAATTGCATCCTTGCAAAAACAAATATCAGCGAATTGGTTTTTTAAAGCAAGCTTGTAAAAGCATCTTAAAATTTAAAAGGAATGTATGAACTTGCTCCAATTTCTATCATCGAAAGCATTGGTTTAGTAAACAAAATAGTAAATAAAATATTATTAAATAATACAAAATACAAGCATTCCTTTCTTCTTCTTAATTAATTACGTTTTTGCCTAATTTCTAAAAATCATCATTTAAAGAAACAAAACTGCAAGATTTAACCATGACATCTGAAACTGTTTAGTATCTCGTGATTTTATTAAATTAAACATGGATACGTTCCTAAGCTAAAGAGATCTCACATCTTAATTTGCGTTATTATCTCAAAAAAGTTGACTGATTTTCTTAAATGACTCTACTGACTGATCTACTTGATTTTTTTTTGCCTATAGAAATATAGGAAGGAATAAGTCGCCTAGCCTAAAGCAAAATTCAACCCAAATCACGATATGTCAGCTTGAATAAATCTGGAAATTTTAGTTAGAAATTCATTATTCACCCAAGATGACCCAGGAAAATGAGAATACTTTAAGAATGCTCGAGGATTTACTAAATGAACAAATCGACAGAACAGAACAAAGCATCCGATCAAGATGGTGCTCAGATACACACGTTTCTGAATCAGATGGAAAGGTATTAATCGATTTTGATGTAATGATAATATCGTCAAGAATATGGAACACTAATGAATAGGTGAAAATAATAGTAGATATAGCAATCCTAATACCCAGGCATAATACCATTTTGAATCTCTTGAGGATTCTTGATAAGATCATATTAATTGAGCGATGGCGGTAAATTAGCAATTCCTTTAATATTAATTATTATCTGGTATTCCTCGGCCAAATTATAAATGTGCATATATAATATATATATAGAGTAATAGTACAATCAATTCTTTTTCTTAAAACTTCTTCAATTTTTTATTGCTCACTGGCCAAGGAAATAAATACAATCAATTTGTGAAACCTGCTATAAAATATCTTTGAAAAAACATGGTTATCGACGCCTGGAACCAAATCGCCCATCCAGACTTTATCAAAGGTGTTCCAGAAGTATCTCGTCTTTTGCTTCAATCAAAAATGCCTTTAGCTTGGTCGGAAAAAGGACTCACTCCCAAACAGACAATTCAACTGATGGATAAAGCTGATGTAGTAAAATATGTTTAAGTGCCTGGTATAGACCTGGAAAAGCAGTAATCACTAATGACATGATAAGCGAATGGACACAAAAATATTCTGACAGGTTTATTGGAATTTCAGGTGTCAATTTACTTCCAAAATTACATTGATTGTTTAGCTTATTATGCAAAAGAAATTTATCTAGCTCAAAAAGTGTGTTTATACCAAATAATGTCGTAATTATGGTATACCATATCCGACTTCTGATTAATTATATATTGTCATCGCAGAATAGTGTTGGTTTCCAAAATTAGAGAGTTTCGCAACCGTGCGAAAGTCAAAAGGTTTCGCCATAAGTCGAAACTAGTTTTGATTTTTGACTGTTGACTTTTGATTTAGTTTTGAAATATAACCTTTAATTTTAGTTTTGACTTTCGCCTCTTCAAAATAGTTTTGGCAACCAACACTATCACAGAATGAAACAAAACAAATATAGTACGTAGAAAAAATAGCAAAATTTGCATCATCAATCTATCCGAACGGTTCTAATAAACATCATCAAAACAGCACATAAAAAAAAATATGCGGAATCCATATGATATTGTTTTGATTAAATGTCTAATATCTAGCATCGAAATTCATGGAATCATAACTATTTTAATTATTTTCTTGGTTGAAACCATCAAAGCAAAGACAGTTCGACGAGCCAAATGGAATGAAATTTTAAAGCCTCTTTAGGAAAATGCCAAAGCATAAAAACTGCATTTGAAATTCCATTGAATTGTGTAACTGATGTTGTTGTTATTAAATACAGGTACTTTTGAATACAAACAACACTATGCATGATCCACTATGAATACGCGTTTGTGATTTTTATTCAGTCATTCTCAATAATGTGCTACATTAACTAGTCATTTTATTTCTTTTTGAACCACCTTTTAACTTATTATTAGATTCTAATAAATCAGAATCGCCGTATCGTAAAGATTTTATAAATCCGATTGTTGCAAATGTGTTATGGATATTAATATTATTAGAGTGAATACGCGAGTTTGGTGTTCATTATTATTATGCATTTTTTACCTCTGATAGATTTCATCTTTATAGTTGGGGATTGTGACACGTCACAAAAATTCAAAGGAATTAACAAGACAGCACTAGTATTGGATTCTGCCAAGATAGGGTTTTAAGATTGATATTAAACACCATCACATTCAAAATAGGTTTTTCGGAGGAATCGTGCTATCGGTGGAAGTAGAAAATATTTTACCTCTGTAAAAGTCGGCAATGGACCTCTAAGTGGTTATGTTTACGATGGCTTTTTAAAAAGATATATTTATTGATTTTTTTTATCATATTCGTTATCATATTTATTAAATAATTTCTTTAGGCCTCATGGTTGAAAACATGTATAAAAAAGGCTTAATTCATGATCTGCAATAGAAGTAACATAATTAGTAAATTTTGGGGGATCGTCACTATTAAGTGGTTACAATTGACCAACTTCCAAATATTACACAGAATGTTAAATCATATGATACAAAAAATCTCAAATAATATTTTTGACATATTTTTTATTGTTGTTTTCTTTACAAGCTTTTGACTTTGCTATATAAATTATAAGTATAATTTTTTTGTCAATTGAAAACGTGATTTTACATATACAAGTCTACTTTAAAATTATATAGTCACACAACATAATTTCAAGATCGTCACAAAGTGATAAATGTGATAAATCGAACTTCCATCATGCTTAATCCTCTCTGATGGTTAATGGTCTGGCCAACCTTTAATCTTTAGTTAGGAGCCCCATTTGATGGCACTGTGTTGCTTGTAGGGACACCTCAAGTGGTATAGTTGTAAATATTTCTTGTATATATTCTTTTTATTTTATCATCTTAGGCAACACTTAGCATTAGTACTGTGGAGAAAGAATTGCACAATAGAGTTGTTTTGAGAAGGCTCCTAGCTGTGTGTGAATATGGAGGCCTAGTGAAAGAATTGAGTATTGAGAACTCCTAGCTGTGTGTGGATACAGAGTATATTGTGAGAATTTGAGCAAGAAACCCTGAACTGTGTGCAGATACAGGGAAAATCTATATATTATTGGACTTTATTTTTATTTTTATATATATATATTGATTGGATACCCCATGAGCTGTATTTGAAATTACATGCTTGCACTAGGAAATTCTGGGCTTGTATAAAAACTAAGGATGTTAACCAAAATAGTCTTGAAAAAATCAATTTTGCCAAGCAATTTCGTATTTACAATATTCTTTATATCAATAGACTACCCAGAATTTTGGCTATTGGGTTAAAGTGTTCAAATAATTTCAGATATAATTTCAACAACTAATAAAATTGACTTTGGTAACTATGAAAAACTATTTCAGCATTTTGGATTTGGCAGTGATCATTTATTAAAAGAGGCAATTTCAGCCAACATGCTTAATAAAGACAGCTCAAATGAGATTATTTCTTCTACTTATAACACCCAAATAAATCAAAAAAACATCATAAATTAATCAAAACATAAATCATATTAAAAATATCATTCTTACATTTGTCAAATCAAAGGTATGCTAGGATACTTGTATTTGGTGTATTATAAATGAACTGTCAGGTTAACTTACAGTGTGATTCAAAAAAAAATGGTGGTCACAAAAATATTACATAACTCAACAATTACATAACATAATTAAATAAAAATATATTCATTTGAAAGCTGATATTCTATCACCATTTTTTCTAAAACTAATTCACATCTCCTTTTCATAGACATAATAATATTTTTAACCATCTCCTGGGGAATTTCTCCCATTCTTCTACCATAAATCTCTTCAATTCATCAACATTTCTAGGCATCCTTTTTTTCAACATTATTCTTCATAATGTACCACATATTCTCTATTGGATTGAGGTCAGGACTGTTGGATGGCCAATTAATAGTATTAATTCTATTTTCAGCAATGAAATCTTTTGCAACACATGATGTGTGCTTTGGATCATTATCCTGTTGCGAATGCCAGCTTCTACCATGCAACCTTCACACAGCAGGCAAAAGCTGAGTCTGCAATATGTTGATGTAATAAAGGCCATCCATAATATCAGTAAAACAAAATAATGGTATTTTACCTTTTAATGAAATCCCTCCCCATGCCATTACTTTTTGCCATGATTTCAGCAATCTGTGAACTGGTCTTTGTCCATCTTTGTGCCATCTACAAATTTTGTTATGAAAAAGATCAAATGCTGTCTCATCTGTAAAGATTGTATGGCTCCAATTGTCATTCAAATGAGCTTGTGCCCATGCTATCTGGGCTTCAAAGCAACAAGTTAGGATTGGAGTTCCAATGGGCACAGAACTTCTGTAGCCTTTTTTTTATGTGTTGCCAAACAGTAGGTTGTGAAATAGACACATTATGTGTTACTTGGAGTTTAATTGCAAGTTGATGTGTTGAAATAGCAGTATTATGGCAAACAACTTGCCCGATGGAACATGACAGATTTTGTGTAACCTTTGATGGATGACCATTCCCACCTTTATGTTCAATAGAACCAGTTTCTTTTAGTTTTTTTAAGTTGTTCTCAATGGTACGAAGAGGGATGTTTGTTTTTTCATATATTTTTTTTGGTGAATGGATACCATTCATCCAAAAATGAAAAATAGTTTTACATTGTGCTTCTAATTTTGCATTAACCATTTTTTACAAAGCTTAAAAGTTAAAAGGTAAAGAAAAGACAATGCAATAACATACATGAATATTGATTATCATGTAAACAATCATATCCAATCATATTATCATATAAGTAAACAGTAATTTTTTTTAACAGGTTCAAAATAAGCAACCACCATTTTTTTTGAATCACACTGTATATTATTTCTATTTGCACATCAACTGAATTTTTCAAAGCTCCCAAAAAAATGCCATTAGAAAGTTATTTTATTTCAATCCCTATATTTATCCTCATCATAACATTAAACATTCTTCATATATCTATTCATTATCATCATTATACATAAAGTCAAGACTATTTCAACTATTTGCAGATCTGGTCAAAATAGGGGGTCAAAACTGATTTTTACTATGTAGTTGCCTCAAGTTGAAATATTTTGACTTTGTGGTTTTAATTTCGACTTCATGTATAATCATCATATACTTCATTTTTTATATTTTAAATAACAAATTGATATGAAACTCAAATTATTAAAAGAGAAACAAAAAAATAAATCTAAAGAAATTTATAATAAAATGGATGAGCTTGTTAAAAAGATTTCTTTGTTCTATATATGATGTGTTCCAACAAAGATTCTATGAAGAAGATACCCTAATTAATAGTAACTCAGTAATCTTTTGAGTAGCAATTCAAGCAATTTTTCAAGTAGTTCTCAAGGTAAGATTATTTCAATGTATAAATATCTGCTATTTTGATGAGAGGTTCATAGTAAATTAAATATTTTCATATCATATTAGCTTCAAGACACACTTCGTTTTCAGATCCAGTCATTCAGAAATTTAAAAACCTTTTTGATGAAACTATGCATAATAATGACCATAACAAATCTGAAATGATCTGAGTGGTCTTAAAAAGAAAAAAAAAAATAAAGGTTTTTGGGGAAAAGGCAATAGAAAATTTCTATAATGGGATGACAACTCTCAATTCCAGAGTTATAAGAGCAATCAATTCTTGGAAAGATCTCAAGACTAAAGAAAAAAATAAATCCACATTTAGCAATAATAATAATAATATTAATATTAATGAAGCTAGTGGCAATGATAGTGGTGATGGGGAAATAGATTATAACAATAGATTTTTACTGGTAAAGCCATAGTATAGGGTGTATATTAAATGGTCTAGTGGCTGTACATTCTCGCCCTTGCAACTCTACTGTGAGAAATAGTTACTCATTGGCCATATTCACAAATTAATTGAGTTGGGTTAAAATGTGGCTGACAATCATAATCCACGTTCACAAATTAATGGAGTTATGTTCCCTCAACTCTAGAGTTGTAGTCTAGTTGAAAATCACTATTAAAATTTCAACCCTGGGTGGACTCAGGGTAGGGTATTTGAGTTCAAAAAAATAAAAAATTAAAATATATATTTTTTTTTTAAACATCAATTTTTTTTTAAATATCAAATTTTTTTTAATCATATCTCTTTAATAAATATTCTAAGCAGCAACAGCATCATAAATAATAATGATGATATTAATGTTAATGGAAACAAAACCATAGTAATTTATTTAAAAATCAGATCTGTAGACTTGATCAAAAAAATTATTTGTGAATGTAGGTAGATTGTACAACTCATTAATCAACCCCAACTCAACTCAAATACAACCCCAACTCTCATTTCAAACTCAACTCAGTTAAGATGTGAATACGGCCATTATTATTTTTGTAACTTATACTGTGTATTTCACTTGATTAAATTATAAAAATGAATCAATTAAAACATTACGAAATATTACACTAATTTTATGTTGTGTAATGCAATTCTATAATTAACTTTTGCAGGGTTCTCTAATACTAATAAATTTTTTATTCATTTCGGAATTTTTTTATTTCTCTATTAATAACAATATTTTTTCTCTCATAAAAAATTTTATAATTATAATAATGAATTCAACAATATTGGAAAAGTATTTCAATGAAAATGAAAGATTTTTAAATACAGAAGAGAATAGTGATGTAAAAATTAATGTTGGTGTAAAACCAAATATTAAAGAAATCCATGCCCATTCATTCATTCTACAAGTTCATTGTCCATTCTTTAGAAATGCTTTAACCAATGCAACAAAAAAAAATGGATATTATATTATTGAAAAATTAAATATCAGTGAATCAATTTTTAAACCTATTCTAAAGTAAGTGATTACAAAATTATTATTGAATTAATTAATTAATTTTTTAATTTAATATATAATTAATAATTATAATAATATTTTATTTGCTTTAAAAGATTTTTATATACTTGTAAAATTGAATTAGACCATTTCACTGGAGTCAATATTTTGGAAATATTAATTGCAGC